TAGGCTTGATTACCAACAATGACGAGACAGCCTACAGGGATGAGGTGAGGGCTCTGGGAGTGTGGTGCCAGGAAAATAACCTCTCACACAATGTCAACAAAACAAAGGAGATGATTGTAGACTTCAAGAAACAGCAGAGGTTGCACCCCCTATCCACATCAATGGGACCGCAGTGGAGAAGGTGGAAAGCTTCAAGTTCCTCGGCGTACACATCACTGACAAATTGAAATTGTCCACCCACACAGACAGTGTGGTGAAGAAAGTGCAACAGTGCCTTGTCAACCTCAGGAGGCTGATTAAACTTGGATTGGCACCTAAAACCCTAACAAACTTTTACACATGCATAATTGAGAGCATCCTGTCGGGCTGTATCACCGCCTGGTACGGCAACTGCACCGCCCGCAACCGCAGGGCTCTCCAGAGGGTGGTGCGGTCTGCCGAACGCATTATCGAGGGCAAACTACCTCCAGGACACCTACAGCACCCGATGTCACAGGAAGGCCAAAAAGATCATCAAGGACATCAACCACCCGTGCCACTGCATGTTCATCAGAAGGCGAGGTCAGTACAGGTGCATCAAAGCTGGGAGCGAGAGACTGAAAAACAGCTTCTATCTCAAGGCCATCAGACTGTTAAATAGCCTTCACTAGCACATTAGAGGCTGCTGCCAATATACATAGATTAGAAATCACTGGCCACTTTAATAAATGGAACACTTGTCACTTTAATAATGTTTACATATCTTGCATTACTCATCTGATATGTGCATACTATATTCTATACTATTCTACTGTATCTTAGTCTATGCCGCTCTGACATTGCTTGTCCATATATTTATTTATATATTCTTAATTCCATTGTTTTAATTAGATTTGTGTGTATTGGGTATATGTTGTGAAATTGTTAGATATTACTTAGATATACTGCACTGTCGGAGCTAGAAACACAAGCCTTTCGCAACACCCGCAATAACATCTGCTAAACACGTGTACAGTTGAGGTCGGCAGTTTACATAAACCTCAGCCAAATACATTTAAACTCAGTTTTTCACAATTCCGGACATTTAATCCTAGTAAAAATTCACTCTATTAGTATTTGGTAGCATTGCCTTTAAATTGTTTAACTTGGGTCAAACGTTTCGGGTAGCCTTCCACAAGCTTCCCACAATAAGTTGGGTGAATTTTGGCCTGTTCCTCCTGACAGAGCTGGTGTAACTGAGTCAGGTTTGTAGGTCTCCTTGTTCGTACACACTTTTTCAGTTCTGCCCAAAAATGTAATGTAGGTTTGAGGTCAGGGCTTTGTGATGGCCACTCCAATACCTTGACTTTGTTTTGGGGTCATTGCCCATTTGGAAGACCCATTTGCGACAAAGCTTTAACATCCTGACTGTTGTCTTGAGATGTTGCTTCAATATATCTACCTAATTTTCCTTCCTCATGATGCCATCTATTTTGTGAAGTGCACCAGTCCCTCCTGCAGCAAAGCACCCCCACAACATGATGCTGCCACCCCCCTCCTTTACGGTTGGGATGGAGTTCTTCGTCTTGCAACCTACCCCCTTTTTCCTCCAAAGATCACGATGGTCATTATGGCCAAACAGTTCTATTTTTTTCATCAAAATAAATCAGCCAAGACCTCAGAAAAGAAATTGTAGACCTCCACAAGTCTGGTTCATACTTGGGAACAGTTTCCAAACGCCTGAAGGTACCACGTTCATCTGTACAAACAATAGTGCGCAAGTATAAACACCATGGGACCACACAGCCATCATACCACTCAGGAAGGAGACGTGTTCTGTCTCCTAGAGATGAATGTACTCTGGTGCATAAATCCCAGAACAACAGCAAAGGACCTTTACATTTAAATTTTCGTCATTTAGCAGACGCTCTTATCCAGAGCGACTTACAAATTGGTGCATTCACCTTATGATAGCCAGTGGGACAACCACTTTACAATATTATAATTTTTATTTTTGGGGTGGGGTAAGGGGGGGTAGAATGATTACTTTATCCTATCCCAGGTATTCCTTAAAGAGGTGGGGTTTCAAGTGTCTCCGGAAGGTGGTGAGTGACTCCGCTATCCTGGCGTCGTGAGTGAGCTTGTTCCATCATTGGGGTGCCAGAGCAGCGAACAGTTTTGACTGGGCTGAGCGGGAACTGTGCTTCTGCAGAGGTAGGGGGGGCAGCAGGCCAGAGGTGGATGAACGCAATGCCCTCGTTTGGGTGTAGGGACTGATCAGAGCCTGAAGGTATGGAGGTGCCGTTCCCCTCACAGCTCCGCAGGCAAGCACCATGGTCTTGTAGCAGATGCGAGCTTCAACTGGAAGCCAGTGGAGTGTGCGGAGGAGCGGGGTGACGTGAGAGAACTTGGGAAGGTTGAACACCAGACGGGCTGCGGCGTTCTGGATGAGTTTTAGGGGTTTAATGGCACAGGCAGGGAGCCCAGCCAACAGCGATTTGCAGTAATCCAGACGGGAGATGACAAGTGCCTGGAATAGGACATGTGCCGCTTCCTGTGTAAGGCAGGGTCGTACTCTTCGAATGTTGTAGAGCATGAACCTACAGGATCGGGTCACCTTGTGAAGATGCTGGAGTAAACGGGTACAAAAGTACCTATATCCACAGTAAAACGAGTCCTATATCGACATAACCTGAAAGGCTGCTCTGCAAGGAATAGACCACTGCTCCAAAACCGCCATAAAAAAGCCAGACTACGGTTTGCAACTGCACATGGGGACAAATATTGTTCTTTTTGGAGAAATGTCCTCTGGTCTGATGAAACAAAAATAGAACTGTTCGGCCATAATGTCCATCGTTATGTTTGGAGGAAAAAGGGGTTGCGTTGCAAGCCGAATAACACCATCCCAACCGTGAAGCATGGGGGTGACACCATCATGATGTGGGGGTGCTTTGCTGCAGGAGGTACTGGTGCACTTCACAAAATAGATGGCATCATGAGGAAGGAAAATTAGGTGGATATATCGAAGTACCATCTCAAGACATCAGTCAGGAAGTTAAAGCTTGGTCGCAAATGGGTCTTCCAAATGGACAATGACCCCAAGCATACATCCAAATTGTGGCAAAATGGCTTAAGGACAACAAAGTCAAGGTATTGGAGTGGCCATCACAAAGCCCTGACCCAAGTTAAACAATTTGAATTCATTGCTACCAAATACTAATAGAGTGTATGTAAACTTCTGACCCCACTGGGAATGTGATGAAAGAAATAAAAGCTGAAATAAATCATTCTCTCTACTATTATTCTAACATTTCACATTCTTAAAATAAAGTGGTGATCCTAACTGACCTAAGACAGGGAAGTTTTACTAGGATTAAATGTCAGGAATTGTGAAACACTGAGTTTAAATGTATTTGGCTGAGGTGTATGTAAACTTCCGACTTCAACTATATATATATATATATATATATATATATATATATATATATATATACAGTTGATTGACATTGGATGTCCTCTTTCTCTCTCCCAGGCATGCCCTTATTTGTTTACATTTACAAAAATGTATACAATTCCTGTTTTTGCTTTGTCATTATGGTGTATAGTGTGTAGATTGAGGGGTGGAAACACCTTCCTAATATAGAGTTGCAACCTCTTTTGCCCTCAGAACAGCCTCAATTCATCGTAGCATGGACTCTACAATATGTCGAGCATGAAAACCCAACAGCGGTGCAGTTTTTGACACACTCCAACTAGTGCGCCTGGCACCTACTACCATACCCCATTCAAAGGCCCTTAAATATTTTGTCTTGCCTATTCACCCTCTGAATTGCACATACACAATCCATGTCTCAATTGTCTCAAGGCTTAAAAATCCTTCTTTACCCTGTATCCTCCCCTTCATCTACACCGATTGAAGTGGATTTAACTAGTGACATTAATAAGGGATCATAGCATTTACCTGGTAAGTCTATGTCATGGAAAGAGCAGATGTTCCTAATGTTTTATACACTCAGTGTAGCTAGCAAGCAAATCAAACAATATTTGGATATAGTCATCAAGTTTATCCCCTGAAATGTAGCTTGTTAACTAGACATATTGACGTGATCTGTTATTAGCTAGCTAGCCAATTTGACGTGGTCCATCAATCAGTGTAGCATAGCTGTCATGTCTGTCAGCTGCAATTGTGATTATTAAACACTCTTAAAAACAATGTTGGAAGGGGGATAATATTAGCTAACTTCGCTAGGTAGGCCTAAGTTGGTTAGAGATGGTCTCCTTACTACTATGTTTAGCCAACTGTAAAAACCAACTGTAAAAAAATAAAATCCACCAGTAGCTTGCAAAGTAAACATTATCAGTTAACCGTACATCGGCAAATGTGCCCTTCTTCTGCTTGACAGGCAGAGCCCACAAAATATGGGAAATTCACATTAACCAATCATACTTGTCAGGTAGAGTTCACTTTTATTTTATTTCACTCAAATATCCAATTCATGATGGCCAATATTGAGATATCGTCAGGTTACCCTTATCTATCTGAAATTACATGATCAAGTGATGTTTACTTGCTGTTACTTGCTGTATAACTCCGATGATAGTGCAACATAGTATGTAGGTTGCCATGGAGATTTAATATGACGGTGTGTCATCCAAGTTACAGTAATTGTGTTCCGTTTGATACCTCCTCCTCTGAGATATGAGATAGAGACTGCATCCTAAATGACATTCTATTCCATATTTAGTGCACTGATTTTGAACAGGCACATAGCACACATTGTTACTGCCTGAACATCATCTGGTAGGGAAATATGAATACCCTGTAACCTGCCCAGAGCTGCCTGCACCTGTGTTGTTGTGGTCTTTCTTTTGCTTTTGGTCTTCATGGTCCTACTGTATGTATTCCTAACTTCTACCCTAACTTCTACCCGGTTCAGTCAGCAGAGTATCGGCCTCCTCTCTGAGACTGATAGTTTTTCCATGCCACTGTGCTGCTGCTTGCACTTTGGGACTTAGTTAGAGATTTGATTGATTGACATTGGATGTCCTCTTTCTCTCTCCCAGGCATGCCCAGTTTCATCAAGTCTCCAGACGACCAGACAGGTATTTCGGGAGGCGTGGCGTCCTTCGTATGCCAGGCGGTGGGTGATCCCAAGCCACGCATCACCTGGATGAAGAAGGGCAAGAAAGTCAGCTCTCAGCGCTTTGAGGTCTACTATTGTATTTTATTTATTTATTTGACAAAGATGATGTACAACAGATATTTCACCAGATTTTAGCTACATAGCTAATCCTCACCCATAAACGAGAATGGATTAGCTTGCCCGTACAGAGAAGGTTGAGAAACACTGTAGGAAGCCCAAGCAGACATACTATACCTTTCCTAATTACATTACCAGATTCATTCATATCCACATCCTTGTTTCAAAGCAGCACTCAACCACATGGAGTCTGTCTGTCTGTTTCAGTTGTCAGTTCAGTGACCACCTCCCTCTCTCGCTCTGTCTGCCTTTTTTTCCACCAAAGAAGCACCTGAAGCAATCCGAAGGTACGCCACCCTGCTCAGACAAGGCTGACAGGCAGACAGACAGACAAACAAACAAACAAACAGACTGGCAGAGAGATAGACCAGCAGGCATGTGCACAGATCGGGCTCAACCAGTGCTCGAGTACCTGCCCTTTTGCCCTCCTATCAGCTCTGTGGATTACTTTCTTTTATTTATAGTTTCTTTAAAAATATACATTACCAGTCAAGTTTGGACACACCTACTCATTCAAGGGTTTTTCTTTATTTTTACTATTTTCTACATTGTAGAATAATAGTGAAGACATCAAAACTATGAAATAACACATCATATAGTGACCAAAAAAGTGTTAAACAAATCTAAATATATTTTATATTTGAGATTCTTCAAATAGCCACCCTTTGCCTTGATGACAGCTTTGCACACTCTTGGAATTATCTCAACCAGCTTCATGAAGTAGTCACCTGGAATATATTTCAATTAACAGGTGTGCCTTCTTAAAGGTTCATTTGTGGAATTTATTTCCTTCTTAATGTGTTTGAGCCAATCAGTTGTGTTGTGACATGGTAGGGGGGTATACAGAAGATAGCCTTGTTTGGTAAAAGACCAAGACCATATTATGGCAAGGACAGCTCAAATAAGCAAAGAGAAACGACAGTCCATCATTTACTTTAAGACATGCTTCATAGAGTTCAAGTCACAGACACATCTCAACATCAACTGTTCAGAGTGGACTGTGTGAATCAGGCCTTCATGGTCGAATTGCTGCAAAGAAACCACTACTAAAGGACACCAATAAGAATAAGAGACGTGCTTGGGCCAAGAAACACGAGCAATGGACATTAGACCGGTGGAACGTTGTCCTTTGGTCTGGGTGAACGAATGATCTCCGCATGTGTAGTTACCACCGTAAAGCATGGAGGAGGAGGTGTTATTGTGTGGGGGTGCTTTGCTGGTGACACTGTCTGTCATTTATTTAGAGTTCAAGGCACACTTAACCAGCATTGTTACCACAGCATTCTGCAGCAATACGCCATCCCATCTGGTTTGGGCTTAGTGGGACTATCATTTGTTTTTCAACAGAACAATGACCCAACACACCTCCAGGCTGTGTAAGGGCAATTTTACCAAGAGGGAGGGTGATGGAATGCAGCATCCGAAGACCTGGCCTCCACAATCCCCCGACCTCAACCCAATTGAGACGGTTTGGGATGAGTCGGACGGCAGAGTGAAGGAAAAGAAGCCAACAAGTACTCAGCATATTTGGGAACTCCTTCAAGACCTTTGGAAAGCATTCCAGGTGAAGCTGGTTGTGAGAATGCCAAGAGTGTGCAAAGCTGTCATCAAGGCAAATGGTGGCTATTTGAAGAATCTCAAATATAAAATATATTTTGATTTGTTTAACACTTATTTGGTTACTACATGATTCCATATGTGTTATTTCGTTGTTTTGATGTCTTCACTATTATTATACAATGTAGAAAATAGTAAAAACAAAAGAAAAACTTTTGAATGAGTAGGCGTGTCCAAACTTTTGACTGCTACTGTATATTTTAAATGTAATGAATTGGACATCAAACTATCTCATTTCATGTATCTTGAATCCCGATTTCACTCATCTTGTCTCTAGTTAGTAGCCTACTAGGAGTCACTGGCACTAGCTTGCTTACAATGAGTGATGAATGTGCTGTTGCAGAAAATAAATAGGCCAATGCAACAAAATACTAATCTAAATGTTCTGATACATAAACAGTTTATATATTATGAATTTGGAGTTATGAATAATGGGACCAAGGGAATAGCCCCTTCAGTGAAAACCCAGCCTATCTGGTACTCTAGGCAGGCTCAAGTGAATGCTCAAAGTGATCAAAAAATGTCAGATACTATTTGAACCCAGGTGTGCTCCACTGATACAGATCCAGTCATTCGAGTAAAGAATGTTCTGGAATGTTCAGGAATGTTCTCTTCCTGTGATGTGGATGTTTGGGTCAGCCACTTCCCACCTCAGCGGAAGGACGTTTAGGAGACCTCTGACCTCTAATTCTTTACCCCCCCCCCCCCCCCCCCCCCCCCCCTAAAAGCTGGCTTCCTGAAATACCTGTGTCCACTCAGGCTCATAATTTCATACAACAGATGATTTCTCTCTAATTGGGTGATTATATTAGATCAGACTTACTTACTCCTCTTTGCTCCCTGCCTGTGGAGCATAGGGCAGCAGCAAGGTCATGCAATGCCGGTTGGTCCTTTGGAATTGAGATCAGAATAGAGTAGTCTCTATTTGAGATGGCTTAATAGTACTGATGGAGTTTGAGTTTGGTCAAGTTTGCCTTTTCTGTCTGCTTGTGCAGACTGGGTAGAATTGGAGCATACACTGTACTCTTGTTATAAACCCAGTTCCTCAGTCCCTCCTAGCTAAATAGTAACTAGCAGTTATCTTACCCCTGTATTAGTCCCCCTGCCAGTGATCAAACCAGGAGTGTTCCCTGGGCTCAGTGGGCTCTACAGTGCTCTGGTGGTCCTGTACGTGTTGATGAAATAGCGATCAAAGGGATGCCCGTGCTAAAATTACTGTTTAAATCAGTTTAGATTTGAATATTAGTCACAGGATGATCATGGGTCTGATTGTAATGCCTTTTATCTCCTCTCCCCATCCATGTGTTCAGGTGATAGAGTTTGATGACGGCTCAGGGTCCGTCCTGCGTATCCAGCCCCTGAGGACCCACAGGGACGAGGCCATCTATGAGTGTACCGCCATCAACAGTGTGGGAGAGATCAACACCAGCGCCAAACTCACCGTCCTGGAAGGTACGATACACCTCTCTCACTCCTTTTCTCTGTCTCTCTCTTGATCATTCTCTTTTTAGCTTTCTCTCTCTCTCTCTCTGTCTCTCTCTCTCTCTCTCTCTCTCTCTCTGTCTCTCTGTCTCTCTCTCTCTCCTATTCTCTTAATCTATTCTCTTAATCTATTCCCGCCACAATGGGTTTCTCTGTCTTGATCAGCGTGGCTCAATATGTCCATACAGATTCAACCATGTCGGGATGTCTGCACCACTGATCACAGAGTGGAGAGGGCGTTTTAAGTCCTGCTACTTTTGGTAGCCTGCTTGGTTGATGAAATAGAAACAGGACATCAGTTTGTGATTTGCCCGTAGCTGTTAGATGTACTGATTATAGATATGTCTTGACATTTCTGTTTGATTACACTTTCCGACCATCAATCTACAATCTGTCTGCAGGAATTGTTTTTGTTCTGAAGCTTATAGCTACTGTAGGTGGGATTGTGTGAAATTAGTTTTTTCTCTCCTGCTAGTGGAAACAGCAATTATTTTATCCACACTCATATTGATAGAGAAACATTTGTGCAAACATATGTCCAGCTGGCAGGGTTTTCCAAATCACCTAGGAACACATTATCTGGTCTAGGAGATGATATTGTAGATACTTGCTGGCTGGCTGGCTTCCTTTCTGGCTGGTTCAGCAAGCATAGCCGGAAAACACCCAAGACTTCAGTCTGTGTCCCAAATGGCACCCTATTTCCTATGTAGTGCTCTGCTTTTGGCCAGGCCCCATAGGGCTCTTGTCAAAGGTAGTGCACTATGGAAATGGGTGTCATTTGGGACGCATACTCAGAACTACCAAAGGTCTTGTTAGGCGTGTGGCTGGGCGCTGAGGTAATCAGGTGTTAACTGGGATCGGTATCAGCTGATCTAGGATCAGATGAATGGCAGAATTAGCATCAGTCTGATGTAAACGTATGCAGATAGATAGAGAGAGGAGCCAGGCAGGGGGGCTTTGTAGCATGTAATAGACTTGTCTCTGATCAGTCTTAATCTGTGTCTCAAATGGCACCATATCCCCTACATAGTGCACTACTTTTGACTAGGGCTCAGGACTCTGGTCAAAGGTAGTGCACTACATAGGGTAGGGCACCATTTGGGACAGATACATCGGGCAGCCATAGAGCTCTGGACAAAAGTAGGGCACTATGTACGGAAAAGGGTGCCATTTGGGAAGCAGTCTGTCTGTGTTGGACAATTATGCTGCTCCGGCCACTATGATTGGCAGACATGCAGTCTGAGTACAGCGTGAAGACATCCTCCTGGTGTATCGAGTGTGATGTGTTCGGGAGAAGGACATGGCTGACTGTTGGCTGACTCATAGATAAAAGGATTGTGCTTGGGTTACGTTGCTCTCACTCCTTACTGTACATCAGCATGTGAAGGATTGAGATCAGGGGGATGCCGGAAAGAAAGCAGTGATGTTTTAGACAGAACTCCTGTTTGTTCCCTGAGTGGAGATGGTAGAGGAGAGAAGGAGAGCGGTGAGAGTAAAGGATGGTGAGAGGAGGAGAGGACAGAAGGAGAGAAGATCAGTGAGCGTAATGGATGAGTGGCGGAGATGAGACAGATGGTGTGGCCTATTGGGGGCGTGGCTTTCAGATAGTTATTTTTGGCCACCCATGAGTAAATGTCATTCCTGTTCATCATGTTAAGTTTGTACACTGCAAATTTAACTTTTCCTTCAATATTTGTGCACATTAGATATTAGATATGTCTTCAGATATTATTTAAATATTATAACAAATTGGTAACTCTCCCAATATTGGGACATGCATAGGCACTTGAGGAACTCATATTCTTGGGTAAAGGTCAGTTTATTTGGTTTTTCCAAAATTTATACAGTTGAAAATGTTCAACAAATTAAAATGAAATCCATCATTAAGTTAAAATTCCAAATAATAAACAATTCAAACAATAAGTAATCAATTCAAATCAGGCAAACCAAATGGTCATCCAATCAAACAAAAGCAAAAAAACAAAAATCAATCAATCAATCAGAAAAAATTCAGTCCGTCAGTCAATCAGTCCACAATGTGTCTGTGTTGGGGAGGTGAAGGTGCGGGGTCTGGGCTGGCAGTTGCTGAAAGGAATTGGCAGTTGTGGTTAGTCGGTGCAGTGTCCAGGGTTGGTGCTGGGTATGATGCTGGCGACCGGGGAAAAAACAGGAACCAGGACCCGGGAACTGGGGCTGATGCAGGTGCTGGATAGTTGCTGGATCTGAAGATGGGTTGAAGGACAACCTGAGGAGCAAGGTCAGTGATGGCACTCCCCTGTGGTCTGCTCGCTCCAGGTGAATATCTGTTTGGTCCCTCCTCCGCGCCTCTTCTGGTGCTGTGACTGGGTCTGGTGCCAAGGGTAGAGGGAGTAAGGCTCGCCTCGGCAGCACTACTCGCCTCAAGGCCTGCAGTCCATCCCCTCCTCCTCAGGCAGCTGGTCCGGTTCTGGATGCTGGGGGGTGTGGGGGGGTCCGTGGAATGGGGAGTCAGGTCAGGCCGCGGTCAAGCCGCTGTTACCCTTCCGTCTTCCCCAGTCTTTCAGGCATTCCCGGCCTTTTCTGCTGGACCAGAAAGGCAGCGCCAGCTGCGGTCAAGCCACTGTTACTGCCTCCTGGTTCATGGGTGTGTATTTGTGTGTGCCACAGAGCCGCAGACCAAGAAAAGGTATTCACAGCCTCCTCAGTCTCCCTCCACAGAATGGAGAGGCAATGTTTTCATGTGGAGAGAAGAGGATTCAGAGAGGGGGAGAGAGCAAGAGAAAAAGAGAGCGCTTGAGAGGGAAAGAGAGAGAGCGAGACAAGGAAAGAGAGGTAGCGGTAGGGATTGAGATGGAGAGAGAGAGATGGGGAGAGAGAGAGAGAGAGAGAGAGAGAGAGGAGAGAGAGAGAGAGAGAGAGAGAGAGAGAGAGAGAGAGAGAGAGAGAGAGAGAGAGAGGAGAGAGAGAGAGAGAGAAACAGCAAGAGTCTGACACTGTGGGTAATGAGAGGGTTCATTAGTCATGAAGTGCACACTGGGAGAAAGGCTGAAGCCTGAAGGAGTGACAGAGAAACAGAGAGATAGTTAACACTAAGATTTGGTGAGAGGGTTAAACAGAGAAGAAAAAGAGTTTCCTCATTTGTGGAGTATTTATGGCTATCCTCATAGTCCTCATCTGTATTCCCCAGCACACCACTATTGCAAATGTTCTAAAATTGATCATTATTGTTAATTGATAGTGATGCCCAAGGGATTTTGGATATTGTATATTGACGGTGATATCCGAGGAATATTGAATATCGTATATTGATGGTGATGGCCAAGGGATATTGTATATTGCATATTGATGGTATTGCCCAAGTAATTACATACCAGTCCATAGCACTAAAAAATGCTGCACTATACTGTCCCTGTCTGTGTGTTAGGTGGTTGGTGTTGCTGCTACTGATTCTGGTGCTGTGTTCTTTGTCACTGTCTCATCTTGTCCCTTGTTGGTGTTGATTTGGTATCTGGCACTCCAGGCTGACTCAAGCAAACTCTCTAAGTATTTGAGAGATTCAAATATCCAGTCTTCCTGAGCGGGTGTGGGTTGTTGCTGTGTTCAGTGGTGTGAACACCAGGTTATTACCTGACTCAACAGGCCAGAGTGATCTCTGTCCCTCCCTAACACAGCCTCCGTCTCTCTGACCCATGTCAGATTACGCCAAGCGAGGAGCAATGATATCTCTGTGGCAGTTCAGCGCGTGTCACCGCCACCATCACACTATCATGGAGATGAGACCGGGGCCCATTACAGTCTAATTCCCGTGGTCCGTGGTCAGGCCTGGCTTTATCACTCTGTGCAGGAACATCATAGCACAGAGCGGCTGGAATTAGGAAGTCACTGACTGCTGATGGCTAGCTGTGATAATAGCTATGCTGGTCTGGGTTCCAAGTTTTCAAGAATCAAATGGCACCCTATTCAGTATGTAATGCACTACTTTTGACCAGGGCCACCTGGGCTCATAGAGCTCATAAGGCCAATAGGGTTCTGGTCAAATGTAATGCGCTGTATAGGGAATAGGGTGCCATTTGAGATGCTGACCTGGTCTCTGCTGCTAACTGATGTTCCTGGACCATCAACAAACCCCACTAAGTGGATTTAGTCCCCACATCAGGGACAGCAGGGCTGTTGTGCCGAGAGGCTTCCTTTACTCTGGCTAGTAAAGAGTTAATCTGGAGAGTCACAATCACAATAATGGTGTTTGTCTGCTGGTTGAAGTAAGCTGCAGTAGAGATACAGTGGTACCTCGATTTTGGGAAGTAGTGATACTGCTAAGAACTCTATCGTACTGTATTTTTCATCATTGACTGTATGGTATGAAAAAGTTAACACGAGAGAGTTGTCTACTGTATGCTGTAACTCCAGCATCCTCCCAAGCATTTTTCATACAGTTCTACAAATCAGCTGACCTTGATACTGTTTTAAAGCATGTACTGTATGGTTATACTGTTATAACTAACACTCTGATGCTGTCATGGACACACCAGGCCAGGCCTGATTGGTTCCTATTAAATGGATCCTGGTTCCTGCAGTGAAAACTGGTCAGAAGGAGGAATTAACCGATTTATAAAGGGCCTGACTACACTGCTAAAGCCCTGTTACAGAGTTAGAACTCAAACTCCTTTTCCCCCTCTCCACTCATACTGCTGTTAGAGAGACTGTCTAGGGTGCCAGTCTCTCTAACTGGCTAGGGTGGCTAGGGTGGCTAGGGTGCCAGTCTCTATAAGGCCATATATGGACATATATGGCCTTATATATCATAAGAACGTAACATACTGTATATTTTAAAACATATGATAATATATTTAAAACCCATTTATAAATGTGACATACAGTACAAGTCAAAAGTTTGGACACACGTACTCATTCAAGGGTTTTTCTTTATTTTATTTTTACTATTTTCTACATTGTGGAATAATAGTGAAGACATCAAAACTATGAAATAGCACATATGGAATCACGTAGTAACCAAAAAAGTGTTAAACAAATCAAA